GTCTGCCGTCTTTCTCGAAGTAGATCGCATGGGGTTTTACGGTAATGTTATACCTGTCACTGGCCAAGGTGCTTAGCGAGATGAGTCGCTTGCCCATGCTAGGGACATATAATACGTTGTGGAGAGTAATGGTGGACCTCACGTTTCCGTTGATAACTGTTAGCTTGACGTTGCCGGTTCCTTTCACTACCAATGATCTGGCTCCGCCTAGTTTAACATTCCGGATGTCATCTTCGGGTTTGAAGTCCCAAAACCATTTACGGTCGTTTGCTATGTGGTGAGTAGCACCGCTATCGAGCACCCATTCTCGATTCTCCATGGAGGAGTGGGAATCATGATTTCTTGTTTCCTCCTTCATTGCACAGTAGCATTCAGCTACGTTAGCATTAGAACGCTTTTTCTTCTGTGGCTTTTTCGCATAACAATTTGATGCGAGATGTCCCTGTCTCTTACAGATATTGCAAGTGACTGTTACCCTTGAAGACTTCGTCGAACTTTGTTGGGAAGAACTCGATGTTCGACTCTCGTTGTAGTTTGGCACTCGACTGTAGTGACGATAGTTTTTTTCGTCTTTCCTGATCTGAGACTCATCTTACTGATCATAGCTGTGGCTTCGCTTCTGGTCTCGGATTGTCGTCGGGCTGCCTCGTCCATTATGAGAGCGATTAGGTTCTTAAAGGTTTTCTCTGCTTTAGGCTTCGGAAGCCAGAGTACCTTTATCCATGTCCAGTTTTGAGGTGACTTATTCATGAGGGTGATGCATTGAATTGACTCCTTGATTTCTGCTTGAGATTCGTCCAGTAGGCACTTGAGTCTCACGAAGCTGGTGAGGTTTTCCTCGATCGATTTGTCCTTTCGGTATTGCCATGCCAGGAAGCTGCTGACAGCCGTGAATTGTTGGCTCTCAGTCGTTGCTCCGTACGTTTCGACAAGCTTCTTCCAGATGGTTGAAGCTTGCGTATACTCGAGATTCTCGTAGAACAGATTCAGAAGAATGTTTCCGTGAATCGAGTTGATGAGTACGTACTTGGCTGCAAGATTCCCTCGATCGTACTTGGCTTGTTGGAGTTTGGCTTCAGGAGTGTCCTCCTTGTTTCCGACCAATTCTCCGTTGACAACTTGCCAGGCGTATGGAATAAGCTTGAGCGTGGTTGGCATCAGAGCTTTCCATGAGAGGAAATTTGATCCATCTTCCTTGAGGATTACCGTCTCATTTCTCGAACGTATGTTCTCGAGATTCGTTGGGTCTATCGTCGGGCATGGTTTCGGTGTATCCCCTCCGGATCCTCCGCCACCGGCAGGAGTATCTCCTCCTGAGGGTTTCACGTCTGAAGTCTTCGAGCCTCCAGCTGGATCATCGCCCGTAGTAACCAACGCCAGGGGTTGGTTGACGTCGGTCATGGTTGAGACGATTGGCACAACACAAAGCACTTATTCTTACTTGAGTTGTCTTGGAAGATTGCTCTCCTAGCTCAGGAGTCCTCAGAGATTCTTGCTGATAACGATGAAGGAAATAGGTTTCGAATTTTGATAGATGACTGAGGATACTCTACAGTATCGGAGATCGTAAGATGGCACTTCTGGAGCACACCACAGTTGAATAAGTACAGCAGGAGTTGACGAAGTAAATATGACTGAATCCGATCAGTATTTTATTGAGGGAATCACTGAGTCTTATATACAGCAGAAGAGAAAGGACACATTCTGTATTTTCTGTATAATTTATAAAACCACGTGTTTCCCTATATGGAATGTTTTAAATAAGGCCGGGCTAGTGGGTTGTAATACAGCCGAGTAGGCTGAGTAGCTAAGAAAGGCAAGGCAAGAGTGGGAAAGAAACCTTGGATAGAAAATTAGTCAGAAATTCTATCATTAGCAGGCGGAAATACAATCTGGAGAAATGGAATGACCCGCGCTTAATTTTGTATGGGATGGATCCCTAACAATTTTCTCATAAGGCATGATTGTCCACGTGATTTGCATTCGTCACCGCAATCACTGTACGAGAAGTATCCGTGAGCATAGACTATGAGGGTTAATATTATAAGTGTTATTCTTAGCCTCATGCTTTCCAGATTGTTAGTCCCGAAAGCTCGCGCTGTCTCAGGAATACCGTTTTGTTGAGATGCTTGGTCAGCGAGTCGGCTCGCTGGTACTCCGTCGGTATGTAGGTAATATCGATGTCTCCTTTGTTTGATTTCCAAGGCTCAGGTTCCTGGTGCTAGCACAGTGAACTGAGGGTGGTTTACTGGACACTGATACTTTACGGAATGACTGATACGAAAGAAACACACACACTCGTGAGGGTTTTCAATCAGGGGCAGAGCACCTAGGTCTGCGAACTTCTCGGTACTCAGCAAGCTTTATTGGTGCATAAACATATATAGGCATGAAAAGCCCTCACCCATCTGGACTAGTTCCAGGTATTGCGAAATATAATTGCTCTGCCAATTATAAGTTCTGGAGTTTTGCCTAATTACAAGAACGAAAGAACTTGCTACGCAGTAGCCTTGAGATTCTGTGACATGATGAGATATTTGTATCTCGTTGATACCTCGGCTAGAATGATCACACGGAATACTAGAGCCAGTCTTGGACTCCCCCTTTCCTGGCTGAGGTTTGTTGTCCTTATATATAGCGAGTCATAGGAAAGGGTTGGAAAGAGAAGAGCATCCGAATATGGGTCATACTGAAAACACTGTGAGCGGGTTAAGTGGTGACTGGTCAGTGACCGTCACAGACTGAGGTCTTCAGTATCTAGAGCGAAAGGTGAAATGGACAGTACTCATCCTTATCCCCCATTGGCCGTGTAGCCTTTTGCTGGGGTTCGCTCTGACTTCATTCTCTTAGAATAAATCGTTGTTTGGCATGCGATGAGAATTTCGAGTTATTTCTGACGAGTCAGCCGGACTCGAGTCAGAGACTCGTAGATTCGACGCAGATTCGTCGAGTGCTTGAGATAAGGGACAATTGAGGCACAGTAGAGACGCTCAGATTGCTACTAGTTCCTGACATCTGGAGACGATTTGCACCTCGATGTCACTTGCTCAGAATCTGAGCTTACCATATTTTTGTCAAACTTGTCATGAGATATGTCAGTCGTTCGGCAACGACTTCGAGATCGGAATTTCGCGATAATTTTTGTCGCTTCTTACTCTCTGATTTGCCCTCTCGGGGCTCGGGCTATTTAAGAGGGGGTGTTCTCGACCAGAGTTGATTTCAGTCTCTGTTGTTTCGAGGAATCTGTCAGACAATGGCGAAGTCTTCTCAGTCTACTCCCGTGAAGCATCAACTAGTCACCACGATGACTTCCGAAGTCCCCTCGGCTCCAAGTCTAGTTCCGAGCGAGTCGGAGACGAGTTTTAAGGATTCAAGCTCAGGTGGATCGAGCCTGTTGTCTCGGTTGGTCGAGCACGCGTTTGGCCCCCTAGTGTGGGTGGCCGTGAAGTACGTTGTGCTGCTGTTGCTTGCACTTGCTCTGTTTGCGAGCCTTTTGAGAGGTATTTCTTGTTCCCATCTATCTTTTTATCTTGCCGCTTGTCATACTTCAAATTCGTCGAGAGAGAATTTAGTCTAATGCGGGAATATCTCTTCGGTATTCAGGGACTGGATCGTATGACGGTCGTCAGTTCTCACTCATGAGGCACGGCGCGGTCATATTGGATATGAACTCGTATTCGTGTGTACGCGGCGACGGCATTCGGATCTGCCAATCGAAGACGGAGTCGAGGTGTGCGCTGCTGCGCTCCGACGCTGCGGTGCCCCGGGAGGCCGTCTGTACTCCGCAGGACCATCGGTTGGGCAGGATCTTGGGATCCTGCTCAGAACATGAAGTATTTACTTGTTTCGGGCAGTGAATACACAAAAAAAACACGCAGGCGATTGACTGAGTCTCTAACTCAGTCGGATAATGGGCGTAGAACTACGCTATCTGAATTTTCACCTGGATTCTTAGACATGTTTATATCAAAATATCAGGCTCTCCCAAATAAGAATTTTCTTTTCCACAAATACAACAGGATTTACGGTCATAAAACAACTTTGTGATTTGGGTTTCTTTTTGAAGTTGGGTTTCTGAGAAGGCAATTGGTACGCTTGAGGAAGTGACATGAAGTGGCATCTTCGGGCGAGAAAATTATCATACGATGAGGTCCGTTGACTCCTATTTCAACTCACAGTGAGAATCGTTTCCACCATGAAATGATGAGATAACTTCGTATGAATCTCGTGATATCAAGATCTCGTGTGCGATTATTGGTATACCCATCAGAGAATAGGTTTTTCTCGCTCAAATGTGTCTGCGGAAGCGAATTGTGTCTTTTAAGGCATGATTGAATTCCGAAAAGTGAGATCGCCTTCTTTTCCGTAAGTAGTTGACGGAATCGAGCCGCTGTCGTCTAGACGGTCGAAGTTGCTGAAGCTAAACATTTCTTGCCATCATGATATTTGTGCTAGGATGCGTAGTTCTCGAGTTTTGTAACTCGAGCCTATATTATGGCCTATTTCAACCCGAAGAAAGGATTCTCGAGTTCGGCATGACCTTCTGACGATGCCTCACAAGCACTCCCACATATTTGCCCATAACAGTTTTCCTCATAAAATGCTTTGTTTTCGAGAATATCGACGATGGAGTTTGTGACCATCCCGTTGTCGATTCGCACCCCATCTTGTCCACCTACCGGGGGCAGTGGCGGCGCCAGCCCTTTTTTTTGGGAAGCTTAAATTTTTTTTCGGGACAGCTCCCCCCGAATAAGGAAGTCAACGCGCTTACACCAAGATTTTCTTTATAAGGCTATATTATCACAGTACGCTTAGAGGTATTAGTGATGCCGAGGATGCATACAAGGATACATGTCTAGTAGTAACAACGGAAACTTCCCGTGTTATAAGAGCGCGCTGGACCAACAATACGGTCGTTGCGGCTGATTAGAATCCTACCAGGTCTCAGCCCCCCCGAGCGACGAGCTGGGATAGGAATCACTCTGGTCTTTGCATCACAGTCATGCCATTAGAGGAATTCTTCGATCCTTTCCTATGGCGAATCCGTCCACGATTTGATCAGGATTCTCGAGGAGGGACTCGGTCAGATCTCTCTCGATCGACAACAGTGCGAGAGCAGATAGCCTTTGGTCGCCCATCGAACTCCTTAGATAAGATTTGATTCTCCGAAGAGCGCTGAAGCTTCGCTCACAGGATGCACTAGTCACAGGGAAAGCGAGAACCATCTTGAAATACATGACGAGCTCATCGAAGCCGGCTTTGAGCGGAAGTAAGAATTCCAGGCATTCTAATGTCGTCTCAAACTTCCGTCCTTTCAAGAGGTCTCTGGCAACCACTAGCTGTCCGATTATTTTCTCTACATCCACATTGAAGCGACTGAACTTCCGAAAGAAGAGCCTGACGTTGTTTTCATCAAGGAAGTCATCACGGCGGGGGTCTGAGCTCTGTAGGAGCTCGAGAATATTGTCCTTTCCGATCAGCCTCCTCTCGATTTCAGCAGAAAATCGATCTATGATGCCATAGAAAGTGATTCTGTGGCCATCATAATCCGAACCAGACGATTCTTCCCTCGATCCGACGGAACTCATGACAACAGAGTCCTGAAGGTGTTTCGACAAAATTCTACGTCGTTTAGGCTTGGGTTCGCCGTCTTCCGGCAAATCCACGGACGCTGCCCGAGCGACGGTCTCGGCCTCATCCCACAAAAGATCGAAGGCTTCGTTGGATCTTATCGAGCTTAGAGAAACGATGGTTGCTCGCGAGAGTTCTGCAGCTCTGGTGAATTCTATTTTCGACGATTGCAAGTACTCCGATAGAGAATTCACGATACCGAGAACTCGATCAAGGATCACCAGCATCAACACGAATCCGAACGATTTGACACCCGCAAGGAATCCCTTGCATAGGATGTGTTGAGGTTTAGGTAGAAACTGGAAACTACTAGTCCTCGTTCCGTACTAGGACTATGACTCATACCAACCCACGGGGCCATATACCCGTGACAGTAGTAAAATACGTGAGTCACCGGGGTTGCACCCCGAAGTTACGACTCTAGCATGATACCCCTGAGGTAGTACGAAATTGGGCTAGCACCCCACATGCTGGGTACACCCAATAGTATTCTAGGACGCTACTTATGATAGACCAGGGTAGCCTTATCCTGTGTATATGTATGTACGGATCAGGACATGTAAGGAGGAGCTTAGACTCCTGCCTAGGTATAAAAGACCTAACATTTCGAATTAAAATTTACTGTGGTATCTCCCTCTCGTGAGATCGCATCTCTGTGTATTCCTGAACGGGCTGCTCTTCTACTCCTGACCAGAGCTACGAATCTTGACCTTCAACACGTTATCAGC